GTACCATGCCGATTAGAATCCACCTTAAAACAGTTTTCCCAGAAATTGATCCCCATGATATGGTTAGAATTGAAGTAGGGTTAAAATCCGTGATATACAGATTTACAAATTTTGCATAGATCAGATGCAATATTTTGATATTCAAATAAAACCGTTCAGATAATTCGATCAATTTTTACTTAGAACCAATATCATGAAAAAATTTATATTTTAGGCCAAAAAATATCTCACTGCAAACTATGAGCGAAAATAGAAATACTTTAAAATTCTTCGTTTTTCTTAAATGTCAAGGCGACATTTGGTGTATCACAAATGATTTTTTTGTTTCTTAAAAGAAAATTTAATCATCTCATTTAAAATATGGGATATGGCTGAATGTGAATTGTTAAATATTTTAAAATCCTTTAATTGATGCAAATAACATCACATTTATTTATGGCCTTTCTTAAAAATCAGGGTCGGACTGGCCATAAGACCAGGTAGGCATTTAGCCCACGAGACCGCAAGAAAATGTTGATTTTTGAGGCCGATCAGAGGAAATTATCAAAAAAGAGGCCGATTAGAAAAAAAAATTTATTATGCTCACATTATTTTCTCTTATCATTTATTTATTTTTAATAATATCTCTATGATTTGAATATCACATTCCTTGAGAATTGTTTGCATAATATCAATAACGTCGCTTGACGTTATACATCATGACTACGTTTCTTTGTTTTTTTTTCAAATGAATGAAAACGTCCTTTTGATTAGAGTAAGCTAAGCTTTGATTAATTTATTATATTATATTATTATACATTGCTTTAAAAAATAGGTTAGATAGAGTAATGGGCCACGTGAAAAAGCCCTTAGATGGATATATGGTAAAGAGAACATGCTCCCAATAACGATAAATGCACTTCAATTTATATTGGATAATAAATCATTTGAGGCAAAAACTTGTTAATTTATGTAAATTTAAGACTCTTGTACAGCTATAATATATTTGGACATTTTTGAAATAATGAGGCCACTGTCATATCTTCAAACTAAAAATTAGGTACTTTGTCAGCATGGAAAATGATAGAAGATGCTAAGTCTTTTATATCATCGATTATTGCATCGATTCAAAATAAAGCAATAAAATGGCTTCTAATTTAAATGAAATATTTAATATTTAAAGCTCCCGGAGAGTATTAGGGTACAGAATGCTCTGTCAAAAAATTGAATAGAATTAGCGAAGATAATATATAGTGACAGACAAATGCCAAGATGAATGTCCTCAAGAATCGATTGACCTTTACAATATGAAAATAATTAAGAGTGTGATAATAAATGTAACAAGTGTTTAAAATGCGTGTATGAAATTCTTAAAAGATACAATATGCATAGAAGTGACACTAATTTATTTTGCATAGGAATACATATTAACTTTGTCATTTACATTGCGAGAGGACATTTAGTAAATTAAAAATTATAAAAAAAGCTGAGCTAATATTGACCAAGAAAAATTAGAAGCGTTTTTAATGATGTTATTTGAACGAGAACTATTAGCGCAGATTGAACTAGAAGACATTCTTGTATATTTGCGCAAAGGTTCAAAGTTAATTTCTTTGTAATATTGTATAAATTCAATAATTTTATATGTGTAATTAATTAAGACTAAAATTTTACGAAGATTATAAACATATGATATTCAACTTTGTAATTTTTAAAAAAATTCACAATTCTATCCATCCCAAATGGCGAAGTTTTTCCGGTTCATCTTTTGGAAGAATATAACCTAACAAATGAAATGGAATTTTGATGTCTATAGATTCAAATATTCTTAACTCATTCCTTATCATGAATATAACTATTCAAGATTAATAAACAAATAAGATATATATGCCTTATATTATTATTTATTTAAATTACAATATCGGAAAGGGTAAGTTCCACTCATTTAGTAAACTACAACTGGGTACAAGGTTTGTTGGTATCCTTGAGAAAAAAAATCGGCATAATTTTATGAAGGGTGGGCCTTCATAAAATTCACGTTCGCTCATTTTGGGCAGGTCTATGACTATACATGCTAGATGAGATAAGAATTTGGTATATTGAGTATCTATTTTTTTTAAATTTAACATGTGATGTATGATTTGATTTTATAGTGAAATATCGTATCTAATATAAAATATATATGTGCAATGAATCTTATATAAAGTATTGAATATGATTTTAGATGTGCAATGAATCTTATAAAAAGTATTGAATATGATTTTAGATGTGCATTTTTTTTAAATAAAATATATGATAATCGTAATGTAAATCGTTTGAACTTATTTTCAAAAATAAGAAGTAATAAAAATCATGTAAATCGAAGAAGCCATTTAAGGGACCCGAAGACCGGGCAAAGTGGGCCAAAGGCCCGCAAAATGGGGGTAAGGGGGCGAAGCACCCAAATAAATGAGGCCGCTATAAAAAATGCCCACGAGGCAGTAGCGTCGCCAGTCGGCCCTTGTTAAAAATAATTTGATTTTTATAACCCTGAAATACTTATTAACACAGGTAAATCCAAGAAGTCCATCATATTAAAATCGTGAATTGTGCATATAGCATGATTTTCATCATTTGATTAGATTGTTGTTCATAAAATAGAGAAAAATTTTAAAACCAGGTTTATAGGAATGTATACAACCTTTTTAATTTAGTTAGCAAAGATGAAAGCCCAAACCTTAGTTAAAATTCAAACGATTTTTAGATTATGCTTCTCATCTACGCACTGATAAATTAGCGAGATAAGTGCAACAGGCCAATGTGTACTCGTCATCTTGCTAATTTTTGCCTTTTAATATCAATAAAAAAAATTATTTTAATTTTAAATTTATGACTATTTAAATCGTTTAACTCATAAATTTTATGTATTAACGTATACATACCTAGTTGGGTATTCCGGGGTTAAGCATTACCAGGGATGCGATTTAAGGTAAAATAAAAATAGGTGGGTTCGGTTCAAGGAAATTTTGAACCCGGGTTTAAGAATTTTTGAATTGATAAAAAAAATTCTATATTTAAAACATAATTAAAAAACTAGACACAAATTTGGAAAAAATAAATTTTTTATTTTATTTATAGGCAATTTTAAAAATTTAATGAGATATTTTTAAATCAAGTCATTTTTACTTTGACTTGTTCACTTTCATTTTCCTCTAATTAATAATCATTAAGAATAAGTTAAAAATTAAAATAAATGGCGTAAACGAACTTAATAGTTGAAATTCATTAACACCTTGATAGAATCTTTGAGAATTTAAAAAATGGTGTAAATGAATAGTTTATTAACACTTTACTTAGAAAATATTATAAAATCTCAATTAAATTAATAATATTTGTATTCAGTTATACAATTATCTTAATATATAATTTTAAACAATACACTGAACTCAGGTTCAAAGGGTTCGGGGTTTTGAAATTTTATAAACGGGGTTCAGGTTCAGATTATTTCCCAAAAACCAGGGATCGGTTCGAATACCTGAAATAAATAGAATTTTGATACCTTTTATTATCATTAAGTATCTATAAAAATTGTCATATAAAAATATTGACCCCATTAAGATTTTTTTAAAAATGGCCAATCCAATATTTTATGGGCATTATTTAGTAACCTATCATTTGTCTTCATATAAGATTACCCATAAAGTATGCACAAATACTATGTAGTAGAGCCCTGATCTTAGATCAAAAACTTTTATTTTAGAGATATGTCTTGATCCATTGCAAACAAAATTTTTGAAATACTGGATGTAGAAAAGTATAATTTTTATAGCAGAATAAGGTGCTACAAAGGATTAGAAATAGCATTTTGCCAAAGTCCAAATAAAAGTCCAGACTATTAAAAAGGAATCAAATATTTATAAATTTAAAGGTTAATATTATCTGCCTCAAGGAACCTGTTTTGAGAATTGAATGGGCCCAAATTTTTAAGATGCCAAAATCAAATCATGGATACACCACTGAACACTTGTAAAAGGTTTTTTTTAGTTGAAATAATTTTGCCATCAACAAATTACTTTTATAAAAAAAACTGCTTTATAAATTGGATTGGCAAATTAAATAAAATTATTATGCATTTTAAGTAGCAACTCATCACCCATTCTAGCATTATTTTTTGTTTAAAATTATTTATGCAATAAAATAATTCTGCCACTATTTTGTGTATATATTATTTTATATATATAAAACAAAATACTCTGGGAATATGAGCTAAATTATATATTAAATATGTCAATAAAGATTATAAATACTAAAAATTGCATCAAATTCCTAATTGAAAAAATTAATTACATCATAAAAAATGGAAACTAGAGTTGTGCATGAACCAATTTTTGCAGATTTAACCATTCAAAAAAAATTAAATTAATCCAAAAATTTTATATTTTTCAAAAAGGTTTTAAATAATATTTACAAATATTTAGAAAAACAAATAAATTATATTTTGTTAAGCTGAAGTCCTAAATATATTATTAAAGTATAATTGCAATGTTACTCAAGATCATGAAAGTCTAATATAATTAAGTCATATTAAAATTTATTGCAAATCATGGGATTAAGGGCAAGGTAAAGCCATGTAAAGAGTTTCTCAGAATTATTTGGTGCTTTGTTAATTATTAGATATTTCATATTTTCGTTGCAAGTAATCATGGTAAAACGAACATTTTGTACCAATTTTTAAAAACAGATAAATATTTAAGCCAGAAAATTATTGACTAAGTCTTGAGATTTCAGTAATAGATGTCCAAATAAATAATCTTCAGACTTGCATAAAAATTTTCAGAATATATAATGGGCTAATCATTTTTAAAATCTGTTTAAATGAAGCAATGTGAATCATTAGTTATTCACAAATGAAATTTAGATGACTTATATAATTCACTCAAATAACTTGTATTAATTTTCATTCGGCCAAAAATTCGGAGAAATAAAAGAGCAAAACTTAATGTAAGAAAATTAAATGTTTGAATTTATTTTATAACATCCAATATTCGATAAATTAATTTAAAATTATATATAGTCTTAGTAATTCTTGGGTTCTTGCATTCCATATTTATTTTTTGACAAAAAATCTGAGTTTTCTAAATAAGGTATAGATTGAAATTTTGTTTCTTTCCATAAATCAGGTGTAAGATAGCTATAAGTTCTAGAAATGGCAGCATATGTAGCTTTAGCTAAAATTATTTGTTAGTTATATTCTAAATAATGAAACATACCAAAATTTCCTAAAGTACAAGTGGAACCTCTACATGAGGTGTAGCAATCTTCTATACCAGCCATCTGAAGCAATTTTTTAGGAACACCAGCAGCTACTATACCAGTTCCTCTTGGTGCAGGGATCAATCTAACAGTTACACTTCCACATTTTCCAGTTACCTTATACATATTTATAACATGCAAATTTATTAAATTCAAAACTTTACAAGGCACAGTATGTGGTTTTCCTATTTTATTTCCCCAATATCCTCTCCTAACTGGAATTAAGGATAATTTAGCTAATATGATTGCACCTCTAATTGCTGTCGCAACCTCCTTTGAACATTTAACACCCAATCCTATATGACCATTATGATCACCTATAACAACAAAAGCCTAAAAAAAATTGAGTTTTTAATTGTATATAAATTACTTTAAATCGTGTTCTTTGCCCTGCCCTTGTTTGTTTTTGAACAGGCATGATTTTTAATACTTCATCTTTCAAATTGCTTGGAAAAAAATGATTAATAATTTCATGTTCCTAGAAATGTAAATAAAAATATGTTTTCAAATATAGAATTTGAAAAGGATGAAATAATTATTATCAATATATCAAGATATTTTGCACTACTATTTAAAAAAATATAGGCAATGGGATCTTGATTAAAAATGAATATACTTTTATGGGTATCGAGAACATATATATTTCTTCAATAGATTTAATTCTTCCTTCTTTAACAAGTCTGCCCAGTTTGGTTACAGGGGCCCATTCTTTTTCGCCTTCTTTACCTCTCATGCCTCTTCCTCGGCCACGGCCTCGACCACGAGCTCTGCGCCTTGCAATAGTCCCAAACCCACCTCCTCCCATTGCTGTCCCACCTGGTCGCTGCATTCTATCAGCCATTTTCGGAATATTTTAGGGACTTAAATGTAATTAAATTCTTTAGTTAGTGCTAATGGTAAGAGGAAATGTGAGCGGATGTTTTGCATAAAAGTAAAAATTGACGTTAACTCCACGCGTAAATTATTTATTTATATTTCAATATTAAATATTTTATATTAAATTACTGAATATATAAAAGTTAATTATAATTTATTTTGTATTATATATCAGCTCTATGAATTGCCCTTGTGCAAAATATAAAAAACTAAAATACATTATGATAATAATTTAAATATATTTATAAAAAATCATTTTATAGTATGATAGTGGTAGTAGATAAAAATTAGATGTTATAAAAAATATTTTATAGCGTAAGGACTATACAATTATTTAGTCTAGGTGATCCTACTGGCACGTAATACTATAGGTAATTCTATGTCAAAAACAAAATATTAAAATAGAATAGTTATTAAACAAATGAGTATTGGCGAATGGCTACATATAATATAATTAATGAATTTTTGCTTATTTTACTTAATTAATTTTAAGATAGATTTCATTTACAAATTATGTAATTTGTTATGACAACTATAATATTACTTTATTATTTCTACAGACTGTATTTATATTTCCTATAAATATACAAATAAATAAAATATATTATTAAAAAAATGACCATGAATTAAATTAATTAAAGTTTATTGTTACTTTCTTTTTATAAATAAATAATAAATATAAATTTATTACATTTAAATAATAAATAGAAATTTATTACAATATTTTTAACATATAATTTGCATAAACCGCAACACCAAAATTATTACAACCCAGGCCTCCTATAAAATATCCTTTCATAGAATATTGGTAAAAGGATTTTATATGATCGTTTGCATACTTCAGAAGTACCATTTGTAAAGCCCGGCCCGGATTGGATTTTTTTTTAAAATTTTTTTTTAAATTTTTTACGGCCCCTCCCAGGTTTTATAAAGGCCCAGCCCGGCTTTTTTTTTAAAAAAAATTTCAGGCCTGGTTAGGATTTTTTTAAAATATATTATATTTATTTTTGATTTTTATAGCTAATAATGACGATTTCAAATATTTGGGTACAATATACGTCCCGGCCTTGCAGGTCTCTGTTATAAATCAATATATACATTCGTTATTATAATGTCTAAATATTGTCAAGTCAAAATGATTACAGAATATAATACAAAAGAAACTGTAACTTCGCAGCGAAAATATAAATAACTTACTTCTTTCAAATTTATTTAGGGCATAGGTAATGTAATACGTTGTCCGCGTCTACATGACAGGATTTTCATTGGATGCAAACCCCCTTCAAAAACTTTTGCCTACCCCCCTAAAAAATTCCCGCCGCCTACGGCGGCGGTGTCTTTTTATTTTTATTTTGAAGAATTTATAAAGATAACTTAAATTTATCTATCTCTACCAACTAATTTTTTGATTATAAAGAATTTATTTTTTTGATTATAAAGAATTTATTTTTTGATTATAAAGAATTTATTTTTTAGATAATAAATTCAATCAAAATCTCCATTATTTACAGTGAATTTATTTTTTTGATTATAAAGAATTTATTTTTTAGATAATAAATTCAATCAAAATCTCCATTATTTACAGTGAATTAATTATTATGGCATTATGAGCTTGCTGATATATCTAAACCTTTTAAATGTAATTTAAAAGGATAGCAGAAAGTTTTATTTGGAAAACAATGTGTATGATTGTTTGCAATATATAGATTTGGTCGATAATTGTATTATAATAATTCTATAATAGAAGTATTAATTTTTACAGCAATAAATTTTGTCCTATTTCATCTCAAAATTTAATAGATAACCCCTCAAAAAATTTATCCGACCCCCATTAAAGCAGCTTACCCCCTAGCCCCTCAAAAAAATAGGATGCAAACTGTTCCTACCCCTCCCGCTCATGTAGACGCTGTACGTTGTGAAAGTTGTGGATTAATTATTAACGTCAATGTTTTTGTTTTATGTTGAGTTTTCGAGGTAATAAGATTATTGGGTAAATATTGATTATGGAGTTGGTTTGAATGGTTGGCTTTTGTGAATTTTATGGATAAAATTATAAAGATGATTTGAATGGGGTTGGTTGAAATTGTGTCAGGGTTTAAGTTTTTTGAGATTAATTTTGTTGGTTACATTATTTTATTGAATGGGATGAGTTTTTCTGTGTTTACAATTAATCGTTATATTTAAGGTATATAAATTTCACTCACAACATCGTAATTTTATAATTTTAATTGAGAAATAAAATAAACCTGCCATTTATTTTCATTTTTGTTAATTTCATCCTCGCATATGCCCGTTTACCTTCATTAAAAGATATTTTTTGATGTCTACCAATATTTTATAATCTTCTGTGATATATATAATTTACTGTTTGATTCAAAATTCACTATTATGAAAACAACCTAACCAAAAAAGTCTGACAATTAAAAATTTTTGATACTAAAAAGATGTTCTAAAACCTTTGGGTCTAGGGAATAAATTGACTCGACATTAAATTTTAGTCCACGAGGAAAAAAAATTATGAAAATTTTTAAAAATTTGTTTTAAGCTTAGTTAAAAGTTTTTAATATCAGAAAGTTGTTCTGGGTCTAGTAATGGCACTACCATTATATTTTACTCCACAAGGGAAAAATATATGAAAATTTTTTAAAAATTTATTTTAAGCCTAGTTGAAAGTTTTTAAGAAAGATCTTCTAGAATTTTTGTGATAAGTAATAAATTGGCACGGATATTTTTTTTACTCCATGATGAAAAAAATTATGAAAATTCTTTAAAACTTTGTGTTACAAATCCGAACTTAACTAAGGGTGTTAATGTTGTATTGGGAGAGCTAATTAGGAATCAAAGGTGTATTAAATCTATATGAATAAAATAAAGGATTAATTTTAATAATAACGATGGTTAACCACTTACTTTTGAGCTCACCTAAAATAATATAATGTAAACTCTTTTAAATAATTCCAATTTATTAAATTATCGTATTACCTTTCTCTATTTAGAAATATTTAGAATCTCTCTGTCTATAATTAATTTCAGATACTATAATTAATGTAAAACAAATTTTTCTTATTTATAAAATTCCACTCTAACTAACTTTATTGAAAATTGAATATATATATACATAATTATTTGCATATTAAATATAATAATTTTTCGAAGAATAAAAATATAAAATTAAAATATTATCATTTAAATATAAAAATGTAAAATCTAGTACAACTATTACTAATTTTTCGAAGAATAAACATATAAAATTAAACTATTATTATTCAAATATAAAAATGTTAAATTTCGTACAATATTAAATTTACATAATACCACACTTTGTTTTGGGCCTAGTTAAAGGTTTATGATACTAGTTCTAAAACCTTTGGGCCTAGTAATAAATTGCCACAGTAATTATATTTTACACCATGAGGAAAAATAAATTATGAAAATCTTTAAAAACTTTTTTTTAAGCCTATTAAAAGATTTTGATACTAAAAAGATGTTCTAAAATCTTTGGATATAGTAATAAATTGGCACTGCCATTATATTTTACTCCACGAGGGGAAAAATATGAAAATTTATCTTAAGTCTATTTAAAAGTTTTTGGTACTAAAAGATGCTCTAAAACCTGTAGGTTCAGTAATAAATTGACATTGCCATTATATTTTATTCCACGAGGAAAAACAATTATAAAAAATTTGAAAATTTTGAAGTCTAGTTATAGGTTTTAATAATTAAAAGATGTTTTAATAATTTGGGCTGCCATAATTTTTTAAACCGCGCGTAAAATGATGAAATATAAAAAAAATATATATTTATGTTTTGAGTCCAGTAAAAGGTTCTTGATATTAGAAAAATGTTTTAAAACCACTGGGCCTAATATTAAATTAACATTGCTATTTTATTTCATTTCACGAGCAAAATTATAATATAAAAATTTATAAAATTTTGTTATAGTAGCTAAATGTTTTTGATACTATAAAGATTCTAAAACCTATGGGTTCATAGTGAGATTTCTAATGTCATTTTTTTTTATAATTACTTGCGGCTAATGTAAAAATATTAAAAATATATATTATGTTTTGAACCCAGTAGAAATTTTTGATATTAGAAAAAGGTTCTAAAACCATTGGGCCTAATAATAAGTTGTCAAGGTCATTTTATTTTAATCCACTAGGAAAATAAAAATTTCAAAAAAATTTAACAAAATTACTATTAAGCCTGGTAAAAAGTTTTTGATATTAGAAAAAGTTATAATACCTTAGTGACTAATATAAATTAATACTGCTATTATTATTTATTCTTTCTTTTTTTAACTAGAGTTTAGTTTATAATTTTTGGTATTAGATATTAGTGGTATACTTTGAACTTTTTAGGGGATTGTTAGTGGAAAAGAAAAGACCGGGGAAGTTAATCTATGGATCCCAATTTAAAATTTAAGAAACTAGTGTATATAACTTTATCCTAAAATATATCTTAAATTGTCTATCCATATGCTAAAAATTTTTATAATAATTAACTATTATATATTTTTTTTATCAAATTTTGAAAATGTTTTTAAGACAAATAATATTAAGCAAATGTTTCTTAATTTGTTATTTTTATAAGCATTTATCATGAGTTTTATAAACATTCATCATGTCTTGATATTATTTAAATCATGATTAGTAAAGCGAGTGTTAGTGGAGCTTGCTAAACCCCAAGATACTTTCTACCACTAATTAAATTATAATTTAAAATTTTTATTTTATCTTTGGTAATTGTGGAATAATATCCGAAATTACTTGAGATATAATAAAAATTACAAAGAGCCTATAATATTTTTCTAAATTTTTATAAAATTCTCGATATTTTATTTTGATTTTTAAATATATTTTGTTAAAATTTTATTGTAATTCAATAATAAATTTAAATATTTTGCTTCATTATAAGGCTGGTCTGGTTTAGGTCCGCATTAGATTGTTTGACTAACTTTATATTGAGCAATCAAGCTTGAACGAATGACAACATGATAGCTTGTATATAAATATAGATTGACCAATATTTATTTTAAATCGTGTAATTTTTTCTTATCCAAATGCA